TTTTTTGATATGATGTATTTTTTACTTTGTTGATTTATCTCATTTGTAGCGCTTTGAGTTTGAGAAAGGTGCACTATAAATAAAATTATATATATATATATATATATGTATATAATTTGATAATAATATAATGTTTTTGATCACACAATAAGGCATATTAGAAAGACCATGTGATACTGACGACTGGAGTAATGGCTGCTGAAAATTCAGACACTTTGACATTACAAAAATAACTTACATTTTAAAATATGGTAAAATAAAAAACTGTTATTTTAAATTTTAATAATGTTTCACAATATTACCGCATCAAATAAATGCAACCTGACCTTGGTTTAATCTTTTGAGACTTCAAAAAAAAAAAAGTACCAACCCCAAACTTTTGAATGGTAGTGCACATGTGATTTTAAAAATTAAACATTTAATATATAATAAAATGTTTTAATGCATTTAGGGCCTGGTTAAGATGGATTGCATCTGATTTGTGAGTGTTTTGCATAAAGTGGCGCCATTTTAATGAATTAATTTTTTTTTCAGATTGATGATTAACTAATGTAAGATCATCTTTAAATGATAAATTTTATTTACTTACTGTGCTCAATGAAGTTGTTGGATACGAAAACTTACCCTAAATGCACTTATTATGAATTCCTCACTTATGTCTATTTTCACAGGCACATATTTGAGGTCTTGTAAATCTTTTCTTTTAGTGTATTATATTTATACATTTTAGTACTCAAGCTATTTACAGCCACCTCTGAAAATGGAGACTAGAGATTAAACTGTTTACTCCATCTCTCCCGACAGAAAATGTGGATGCACTACGGTTTCCTCTGGTCAGCTCTGCTCTCTCTAGAACACCACAACAACAACAAATGCCTAGAGTCAGAACGGGCCTATAAATCCTATTCTGAGATCAGTGCCACAGAGAGATATTTATAGCCGTTCAGCCCCGCAGATACCGGTTTATTCCCTTGTCTGGTTCTTCCCCCCAGATGTTCCAGCGGTTTAGGGGCTAAAATAGTAAAGAAACAATAGACACTAGGGAAAAGAGGGATGGTGAGAGGAACAGGGGTGTGTATGACTGCCGGGGAAAATATGACTCGTCTGAGGGACTCACATATTCTTCGTTCTCTCTGTCATTATGGTCACGGCCGTTCCCGGTCAGGAATTTCAAAACTCTCACTCCAAACAAAGCCCAGATGAACCGCTACTGACTCCAGTGTGAGAGCTCAATTCAAACAGCCTCACGCCACAAGAGTCAAATAGGGACATTATTTCACTCAATTTGACATCCGTCTGGCCCATCTCACGCTTTTGAACAACTGAGCATGCTCAGTGCAAGGCTTAATTTTGTATTTAAAAAAATCCTAAGAAAAGAAAAACATTTTACATTTACAGAATACAGATAAATAGCGATGCACCAATATAAAAAAATCTGTGAATAAATAATAATTAATTTATAATTATTTTTGTTAACATGAAACCTGAGTTTCATGCCAATAACCCATAAATATTACAATTTTATGCTATTTTGTCTGAATAAATAAAAACTACAAGTTTACTGCTGATAACCCATAAATAACAGATATTAAAATTCTATGCTATTTTGTCTGAATAAACTAAAAATACAACATTAAAATCAATCATTTTAAATAATACATTGCAGTAACATTATAATTAGAGTTAGATGAATAGATATTCATTTTGTAATTTGCTAAAAATTATATTATCAGTGTTAAATTATGATTTTTTTTTTTAGACTGACTTATATTAGATGACGGCAAATCATCTATATATATATATATATAAAAGGTATGGTATGAGTATGGACAATTTAATACCCAGTATAGCACCCACATATCATTACCATGAAATAAAATGACTTGTATATCATGATATAAGATTTTGGTCATATCACCCACCCCGACTCTGCTGTTCTTTCTTCCCAATTCTTCATTTAGCAACAGTTAAAGGTCTTCTTGTAGTAGAAACCCTGAGGCTTATGTACAGAAATGCAGGTGTCAGTACTTCGAGGCATATCTGACGGCTGATTTTCAGTTAAGAGGTTCGTTTCCCACAACATTGAACTAGCGGGCATGCGTGACAACTGGTTAATGGAATGTTTGTTAAGACTAACTGAAAACATTGTTGCAACCAGCGGCGGTATTACAGGTAATAATAACCTGGCTGTCAATCATCATTCATATGAAAGGAGCCTTCACAAATTTCCCAGGCTGAAAGCTATAATACTGTCTAGTGATGGATCCCTTTCATAATTCAAAGTATAATACACAATGAACAGACTGTATTAAAACAAAATGAAAAAAATATGATCATTTTAGTGTCGATACTGTACATGAATTGTATTTTAATAATCAAAGATTTACAATATATTACATAAAAAAGTAGTAAAAGAGAGACACAACTCAATATCCAGGATATGTGAACATATGAGGCACTTTGTGAACTTCAAAATACTGTTCGTTTAACACATTTTTGGTATGTGCAGCATATACTCTTCCCTTTTTGGCTCTCTCAATAGTGTGGGTTGATTTTTATGTCAAAAGCAGTATTTACAATATACTTTTTTCTTTGGCTAACAAGCACAAAACATTTCTCGGCAAAAGCAACTCCAAACACACACGCTAGTATTCTTACACACTCATGCACACAAACACACACATCTCTCAATTAACACATACTTCCATAAATCCAGAAAATCCTGAAGTGATCTGTAGAAAGTCTTACAATCTCCTAGGAACCTTTAGTGTTGAGGCGAAACATTTTCCTGATTACTTTTGGCTCTCGGTCAGCTGTCAGAGGAGAAAACCAGCATCTGTCCAGCTCCTCTTGCTTGGTAGCATGACCTTCCTCAGTGTGAGCTATGCATAATCTGATAAAGTGCATGAAATCTTTGGTTATGAAACATAAAGCTTTATGAAAAGGCCATGTTCTTCCACTCCACCCCACTGGAGGGATCCAAACATTCAGTTTCTGCAGAGAGAGAGAGAGAAAGAGTGACCTTTCTCTCTCTCTCGCTCTCATTTGTCATCGCTCACGCTCACGGAGCAATCTTCTGGAATCTTCTCCTCAGAGCTGCTGCAGGTTGACAACTTGTCTAGGTCGTCATCCATCTCGTTGAAGCGTTCGGCCACACACTGTGCCGTGAGCCGGGCTTCAGGGTCGTGATCCCAGCACTCGTTGATGGTGGTACAGACTGCAGCCACACCCTTGAAATAAAACACAAGTGTTTGTGCATGCATTTGCCCATAGTACAGTGCATTATTATTACAATAGTCACTATTTAGTTCAAAGTCAATATTTCGTCATGTCATGTCATTTGCATACATTTTTTAATATTTAGGATTTTTACTCAACTCATCAACTATAGCTATAATAGTTTAGCTAATCAACATTTTTGGGTTCTAAACTCTATACCCCTTGTTCTTTTAATTTTTGTCACTACACTACCATTCAAATATTTGGGGTCAGTTTGACAGTCAAACTAATAAAAATGAAATTAAACAGCACAAAATTGTTTTCTTACTTAGTATTTTGTATTTCAGTAAAAATATCCAAACATCCTTAAAAATACACACATTAACATGGGAAGCAAAATTACGTAAGATACACTGTCTTCAGAGAAATCTAACAATATTTTGCGTAAAAATGTGTAAAACAGCACAAAATTGTTTTCTTACTTAGTATTTTGTATTTCAGTAAAAATATCCAAACATCCTTAAAAATACACACATTAACATGAGAAGCAAAATTACGTAAGATACACACATTGTCTTCAGAGAAATCTAACAATATTTTGTGTAAAAATGTGTCTTTATGTCTACTAGTTGTTTAGTTTTATTATTGTTATTTTAAAAGTAAACAGAAATATTGTGAAATATTATTACAATTTAAAATAACCGTTTTCTATTTTTATATATTTTAAAATGTAATCTATTCCTATGATGCAAAGTTGAAATTTCAGCAGCTCCAGACATAACTCCAGTCTTCAGTGTCACATGATCCTTCAGAAATCATTCTAATATACTGATTTGGTGCTCATGAAACATTTCTTACTATTAACAGTGTTGAAAACAGTTGTGCTGCTTAATATTTGTGTGGAAACCGTGCTACATTTTTTTTTCAGGATTCTTTGATGAATAGAAAGTTCAAGAGAACAGCATATATTTGAAATTTAAATATTTTGCATCATTATAAAACTGTTAATTTTTTTCACCAACGACGAGACGATAACGAACTAAAACGCTTTTTGAATGATAAAAACTATGACGAAAATGTATTGACATTTTCGTCAACGAATTAAAACGAGACGAAAATGTTAGGGAGGGACGATTTAGGAAGAGATTCATTCAGAACGAATCTGCTGCATAGTTAAGGAGGTTAGATGCGTACATATGAACCGGCGGAACATAAGCTAACATACACTTGCTGCACGTCTCATAAAACGTTAAAAAATGTCAATATGTGGGAGTAAGAGAAGAGCAGACATATGGATAAATCTGACGACGCAAGAGAGAACTCAGGTCGGGCCGGTTTTCTGAGCGCAGACACAGAAGCACACACACACAGAAAGTGCCTCTCACAGCGCGCGAGTACTCTTTCTCGTCGCATGAATGGAGAATTACACACAAAATGATTTCGAATTGTCCGTTTTGATGAGTATTCACGTAAACACAGTTGATTATGTCTTAAATGAACGTAAACAGTAGGGAGAACATGTATCAGTACACTGCATCCATTGCAGCTGTGCATTCGGTTTTAAAGAGACAGCAGCCTAATTTAGTGCTATAAAGAATGCATAATTAGCCTATATAACCATTGGCATTTCATTAAAAAGAAGACCATCTTGTACTTTATGAGACGTGGTTTTATTTAATTTTAACATAAAGGCATGTTGTGTGTCACCGCAGTTAAATCGGTGTCTATCATGATAAAACCTTAATATCAAACCTATATAATGAGTTAGGAAATTTTAGAGAAATGCTTAATAACTGTAACTAAACCCATTCAATTTTAGCCGACTAAATTTACTGTAGATTTAGTCAACTAAAATTGTATGATATTTAGTTGACTAAAACTAGACTAAAACTAAAAACAATTCAGATGACTAAAATATGACTAAAACTAAATGGCATTTTATTCAAAAGACTATGACTAAAACTAAATCAAAATTTGCTATCAAAATTAACACTGTTATAAAAGTCTTTACTGTCACTTTTAATCAATTCAGTTGCTGAATAATATTAATTTCTTTAAAAAAATCTTACTGACCAACATTTTTAAACAGTAGTGTATTATGTAATTGAAGCTTTTCTTGTAATTGGCTTGTAATTGTGAGTGAACCTGTTGTAATGCAAATTTCAGACTTTGTCTGACAATAAAGTTTCATCATCATATCATCATCATCATCATAATCATCTTTTCAAAGAAATGTGCACTTTTTCCAAAAGCTCCCCAAAAGAGTTGCTTGTCTCTCGGCTAATATATTGTCTTTTACCATGCTTTGAAATCAAAGTCAACCCTGTTCTGTTTTACCTGGTGTTTCATCCAGCTGCTGGGAATCTCTGGTCTGCCCCGGTCTCTCAGCACATTGTCTTTCATGCTCTCCACACAGGGGTGCTCTCGGACTTTAGAGCCAAATGGAGGTTCGTAGTCTTTAACCTCTGCAAAGACACACACAAGACGATCAGATAATGAGACCTATATCCCCTTATGACAACAAGAAGAATCATTGTTGGAGAGCATTTGGTCTTGAGAAGATGTTTCATATGCTCTGGTTATTCTATCTGGTAAAACCGATAAATGCGGCATCTGGAGAAAAATGGGACAAAATCAGTTGCTCCATCAGACTGCCAACAATAAACAATGCTGAGTTTGTGGGTCATTCGTTTTGTTCATGAAAACAAATTGATGAAATATGAGACTAATCACTAATCACTGGACTGTGCTAGTGAGATCCAAAAACAGATTTTCCAGACCTTGTGAAACTTGCAGCTGCAGAGGCCCAATTATATATCTGTCTTCAACCTCCATAGCCAAGTACTTGACCAGAGCCAGCTATAGATAACACACAAACACACGTTGTGCTAAAAATCTGCAAGAAACTCCAAAACCTCCAGTTTCCCAAAAACACCCGGGGACGTCATAAAACAGCAGTTATTGCCCTCTTCTTGGCCAATATAAAATCCATTACAGCAAATGATGGTGGATGAGTACGTTTACTTTGGAGTGGCTTGCTCTTGATTGGAGAGTGTGTTTTGCGGTTCTTGCCAGCACTCTGGGCCCACAGGAAGGGGCTAGGCCAGTGTGCCGCCTGGGACAGGAAATGGAGGACTGTGATTGGGCCCCTGCGGAGAAGCTGACTCCACAACCGAACGCATCCTGTTTTTGACAAGTGGACTTCCCCTGTTTCAGCTCTTAAACAAAATACTCCAGCCTCTGCGGTGCTATTTCTGCTGTCCTCACTGCCCCGTGTGAGAGTCTGACCTGATGCTGGTAAAACGGACAAAATCGGAGCTTATCATGCATGCAGTCCGTAGACGAGGACACGCGGCTGTCTGCAGCATTAAAGTCATCTAGAGTCTTTCTTTTTCAGTCTCTTTTTCTATACGTCTTGATTTGCTCAAGGGGCCGAGCTACTCAAATGCACTCGCTATGTGAGGAATGCCGTGGTTTTGGGAACAGATGTCCTGCCGGCTGAGGCCTCACACCCAGTAACCTTTTTTTTAATACAGTTTCCCCTTAAGATCAATCGTCTGTTACCTCCACAGACAAACCTGTCTGAGTCTCTGCCTGGGAAACAGTACAAGAAGAAAAAAAAAAAAAAGAGTATATGGGTGTTTCTTCATTCTTGAGTGCTTTTATGTTCTGGGGACTGATTTTTATGAAAATTTCTGCTTTTTTTATAATAATATGTGACCTTAAAATATCTACCATTTATTATCATGCTTTCATCATTTACTTTTGCTATGTTTTATTGCCCCAGACATAGACTTTCAATCTTAAAACCTGAAAATCCATCATAAAAAAATAATTGTTTAAAACCATATTAATCTAAACAAAGAGTGAAATAATCAACCATTCAAAGATTTAATGTGAATATTTAATTCAAATTTTATATTAAAAAAATACATAATTTAATAAATAATTTATATAATTATTTCTATTAAAAAATGACTGTCCAACAGACATGACATCATATCAACCAACATTTTATAGTAATTTATTATATATATACTGTACACACAATTTATGAAAACTGTATAGTTAATAAATAATTTATATAATTACTTCTGAAAAAATTATACACCGACCAAAAAAAAGAAGAAAAAAAAAGAGCAAATTAAAAGTTCAGAGAGGTAGTAAGTCAGGGCAGACGGGAGGTAAGATTCCTTTTTAAACACTAGGACCTATTTAAACGTCGCCTAAAGAGTAATGCAGCAGCAATGTTGCCAGATCAAATATTTTTTTCTATAGGTCTATCATAATGCGTGCGGTAGAGGGTTAAACGTCGCCTAAAGAGTAATGCAGCAGCAATGTTGCCAGACCGGAGGATTTTTCAGGCTTCAGTCTGAAAATGTTGGGGTGGATCATGAGTGCACGACACCCTCGGCTCTTTTGTGTGTTTGTGAAGAGCTTGAGTCAGTGAGTGGCGTGGTGGCAGTGAATCTGAGACCTGTACTGATGGATGGCCACCCTGCATAGGGTTCTGCCACCTGCTAGCCAGCTGCTGTCCTCCATTTACTTGTTTTCCCATCTTTCTCTGAGGAAGGGAGGGAGTTCTCCTCGGCTGGCAGGGTCTCAAGTTTGCTCTACTCCAGACCAGGCCACACCACCTGCTAATTCAGGACTTACTAGCATACACATTGAGCCACAGCAGAACAACGCAGCCACAGCTTTCCATTTCACCATCACCAGGGGCGCCTCTAAGGGGGGGAAAGTTAGGACGATTCTAAGGGCCCACGCACTTTTGGGGCCCCCAGAGATCTGTTTTATTAGTAGAAACAATAGTAGTAGTAATGTAATAGAAATTATACAATTATTTACCAAAGAGTTACAAACAAAACAAAATTACGGCTTATTTCTGCATTTCCAGCAAAATTATCTCCCCCCATTCACTGCATGGTTTCGTCCCGTCCTACGTAGCCTAGAGTCACTGAGTGAGATCAGATGGTAAACTGTCAAATTAGAGATGTCTTCGAGTTCGAGGGGGGCGGGGCAAACCGAGCCAGACGATTTGTTCAGTCGCACTTTAAAACACATTTTAGTTTTGCTATAGAAAATCTACAAATTCATACTCTGATTACATAGAGCAGCAGCAGGAAGTGCGTGAGGTTGTCATGGTTACCAGATACACTGCACACGGATTATTATTTAATTATTTTGCCACCAAATCGATAAAAATCGATTACTAAAAGAGTTGGCAACGAATTTCATAATCGATTCGTTGTGTCGCGCGACGCGGAGACGTTCCACTGTTAAAAAAAAAAAAAAAAAACTTTAGCTGGGTTTCCACAGGCAGGGTCACAATTATCTAGTGTATGAAGCTAAAGGTTTTTGGGTTAAGGTGCATAATGTAGAACATTTTTAACATTGTATGCTGTATGTCCATAGGTAGCTAGCAAACAAGGAATACAGCTGTTAAGCTAATAGTCACATTTAGCTGAGTAAGATCATGATTGAGAAATGTTGGATACTGCTGGAAATACTGGTGTTATGGGGTATCCTATTTATTATTTTAGGATTTTTTTATTTGCCCCAGTGAAGCATTTATATTAATATAACTGATTAAGTAGTCAAACTCATTCCATATCAGCAGAATAGTGTGGTACAGAAACTCTATGTCAATAGAACAGGTTCTGAATGAATTATGTTATTGATACCTAATGGTCAAAAGCCATAGCAAAAGTAATAGGTCAATATTATTAAATTGCAGACAAAGATTTTGAATAGCTAGGCTGGCTTGTACACTATATTGCCAAAAGTATTGGGACACCCCCTTCTAATGAACAGGTTTGACTACTTTAGTAATTTCTCATTTTTAGTAAAAAAAAAATCATATAATGCTATTCTAGTGAATTGTGTGCTTCTAATTTTATACCAATAGTTTGAACAGGACCATTTTCTATTCTAACACAACAATGCCTCTGTGTATAAGACAAGGTTAAAAAAAAAAAAAGATTGATTCAGTCAGTGGAAGAACTTGACTGGTCTGCATAAAGTCAAGTCCTAATCCCAGCTGAACACCTCTGGTGTGACTTTAAATGCAGACCTTGAGCCAAAAACTCATCACCAAACACCAGTGACTTGTACATACATATGGACAAAAGTATTTGGACACCCCCTTCTTTAGAACAGAAAAAGGCACTTCCAAAACTGTGGCATCAAAGATGGAAACATAATTCATGTATTTAAAAATTGTATTTCCATCTTTGTTGCCACAGTTTTGGAAGTGTCTAAAATGATTGTACGCATATGTACAAGTCATTGGTGTTTGGCGATGAGTTTTTTTTTAGTTTTCCCAATACTTTGGGCAATATAGTGTATGTTTGGTGCGGTAGGGGGCCCAACCTCATATTCTTTCATAGGGCCCAAAATTGCTAGCGGCGCCCCTGACCACCACCCACACGTGGACTTTCTGCAGCTGCTGTCTGCAAGTGTTACATCTCTAAATGTTTCTTTTCCCCCTTTTTGAAAGAGATCCCAGGTTTTTCACATTGCACTCTGAAGGTGGTACTGCAACAGGAGAGACAGACCCTGGATGTCTGTCTCTACCTCCCTCAACACAGACTGAAGTGAAATAGTATGTCTGGCTGAAAACAACTCCAGCTCTGCAGATAAGCTCCAAGCAGCATGACAGGAGGACTCCAGCAACCCCTGTCAACCACAGAGGGGCATGCCGGGGCATGTGGGTAACACAACTCGACACAGGCACAGGGACATCGTGTGAAACAATATACACATGCAAATACACTGGCACTCATATTACCAAAGTTGATTAAAATAGTAAATCGCTGCACCTTTATTCAAACATTTGCAGAACTTTGAAGTGCACCTTCTGAACTTGACATTCTTTTCTTAGTGTTTTTGTTTTGCTTTCCAGTAAAATATCTAAACATCCTTAAACAAAGACACATTTACAGGGGAAGCAATGTGACAGTAGGAGAACTCTAACAAGATTTTTCTTAATTTACGTTCAAAAGTTTCAGGTTAGTAAGATTTTTAAGTGTTTTTGAAAGAAATCTCTTATGCTCACCAAATCTGCATTTATCTGATCATAAATACAGTCTTACAGTGAAATATTATAATTTAAAATATTATTTTTTTATTTAAATATATTTTAAATTGTAATTTATTCCTGTGATTACGAAGATGAATTTTCAGCATCATTACTCCAGTCTTCAGTGTCACATGATCCTTCAGAAATCATTTAATATGCAAGAGAGACATTTCTTATTAGTAGCAATGTTGAAAACAGTTGTTGCTGCTTAATTTTTAATATTGTGGAAACTGCAATCCATTTTTCCAGTTTTTTTTTAATTAAGATTATTTATTTAGTTATTGCAGTGTAAAACCTTCAATTTTTTTATATGTATTTGTATATATATATATATATATATATATATATATATATGTATATATATATATATATATG